GAAAATTTTATATCAGAAAATATAATTATATAAATATTTTAAATATTTTTAATTATCTTTTTTTATTTGTTATTAACTAACTATATATATATCATATTTAACAAATCAGAAACTTAGTTGTTCTCAATATAGATGATTTTCACAATATTCATGAATTTTATCATAGTGATATAATGACTACATATGAAGTTTTTCATTTTATTACAATACTCTTAAAAGCCTTGTCAGAAATGCCATCTATTCCATTTAATAATCCTAATCAAGAAAAAATTATTTATAATGAAAGGGGAATAGATTCAAACATTATTATAGATAATGTACACTTATCTTTTTTTCTTATTTATAGCTTAGTTATGCAGAATGCAAGCAAGCCTTTGCTGAATTTATATTTATATTAAAAATTCATGATGAACAAGTTGAACATCTCTTAATTTATAATTATGATAATAGGATAGAATAACATCAGATTGATCAAACATAGAAAACATGAAATTTGTTGATTTAAAAAAAGATTCCCTTCATTCAACTGATAATTATATAAATGCTTTCAAATGCTTGATAAACATATCTGAAGTAAAAACTTATAAGGAGATACAAGTATTAGTGATACCTATAAACTACTCTGAATAACTTCATGTACAATATACCATTACCTATCGCATTAAATCTGAAGACTCTTCTGAAATACCAGAGCAAATTCTGTATATCATTTCAATGATCAGACTTTTACATATATCCTTAAATAATCATGAAATTGTATTTCTTTTAAATTATTAATTTTTTGACTTACTCTTTCATAAGGTGTTTAGATATAATAAAGTATTGGTAAAAAGTCAAAACCTTATAAAATTAATTTAATATTAGAATTAATGTCTCAGATTAGTCTCAGATGCATTCTATAATTATACAGAAATTTGAACATTTTAAAGATCTGGAAATCAGATATCTTATTAATTTACTAGATAACATTATCCTATTGATTTTAGATTTTTATCCTATTATATTTCATAGTGAAAATTGGCAAACATATATAGAAGCAATATTTCACATTTGGACTATTTTTTATCAATATCAACACAGATATTATAACAAATTACCATTAATATTTTTAAGTAATACTTTTTATTAGACTAGTATTAATCATCTTATTTCATAATCTCTTACAGATTTTCTTCATGTTTTTAACGATTATTATGTAGAGAATTTCAATAGCTCACTTTGATGATAAATACAGAAATCAAATACAGCAAAGCAGATTATTTGAGAAGTATGAATAATTGATCAAATACGTGATGACAATTCTTTTACTAATGTATTTTCTAAAAATCATATTAGATATTCAGCAAAACAGCTAGAATATCTTGAAAAGCGGTCAGCAACTTTTTCTTTTAAATTTTTTTACAAATATTTATCAGAATCTTAATAGGTCAAAGTTATTTCATCCAATATATATTCAAAATCTAAAATATATAAACTTCTAACACTTAGAGTTCAAGTTGATGTAAAATATTACTAAGTGCTTAGAATACAACACGTCTTTCACAAAAAGATAAATACTGTGATTTAGAAGATTGCATAGATTCTTGTAAAGTTGGTTGTGTTCTAATTTGTAGTCATGCTTATCATTTTGAATATTGCTTATTCAAATTAGAAAGCCGATGCTGATATTATATTAATTATTTTATAAGTAGAATTGAAGCAAATTGTAAGACTTTTCAGAAAATTCTAAATTTATCAAATGTAAAAGCAAGAATAAGAGAATAGATGAAATGGATATTGCTAAAACTGATGATACTAATATTAATTATAAGAATTTTTTTTAAATATAAATATAGATAATGATAATATAGATATACTTTTTGAAAGGATTACAAATGTTTTAATAAATATGTTATTTAATAGTTTTATAAATGAATAATAAATAAAATTCAATTAATCAATTTATTTGAGATTTTTTATATTAGTATTAGGCTAAATCATAATTTATTATACTTAATAATCATTTGATTAACTATTTTTTGATGAATTATTAAAAAATCATGTGATTTTATCAACCAATAGAATTTTAGGAATAATAAAAATTGATCTGCAAAAATTAGCCAATCATAATGAAAGCCCGCTATGCTTATTGGATTTTCATCAGTTCGTTACATAAATAATTCGATAAAATGCTAATTTATCCTCTTTTGACTATCATCAACTTTTTCACCCATAAATGTCATCATCGAACATGAAATGTCAACTTTTTCACCCATCGATGCCATCATCGAGCATGAAATGAAGCATGAGTCTACTAATTTTTTTTATTTTTTCCTATTATTTCGAAAATGTGACCTTTTGTCAGGATATACCTAAGTTTCTTCAGCTCGAATAGAAAAACATACATTGACTTTTTTATCCTTCTTCTAATTCTCATATTGCAACCAGTTGTTTTTATATTTATTCCTGCTAAATCTGAGTTAGAATCATCTTGTAATGCTTTGTACAAATATAAGCTATAACCGTTATAGCTAGATAACTTTATTCGATATTTGAACAACATAACTGACAAGGGTTTGAGTAATTTCAAAAATAATTTTCAAAAATGAATGCAAAGCAAATAGCAAAAAAATTTCCTCAGCTTTCGTAGCAAGATGCTTTTGATCTTGTTGCAAAGTTCAAGTATGCTTTTTAAGAGTTTTTTTTTTCTTTTCTTTTCTTGAAATTTTTATACGATTTAAATAAGAATTAACATGTCTTATATAGCAAAATCGACCTTGATGGTAATAGTGCTCTCGAACAAAAAGAAGTTGTAAAGGCTTTACAAGCAATAAGTGAAAGTACTTCATATGACAAAATCCGAGCTACCTTGAAAGAAATCAACTTAAGTTCAACAGGCAATGTTGATATTGAAAAATTCATTGAGGTAAATTTATTAAAAATATATATATATATATATATATATAATTTGGTCTTTGATTTCAACTTTCTATTATAATAACTTATTTATAATTTAATTTTTATCATTAGCTTATTGTAAAACTTAGAGAAGGTCGTAATAAAACTGCTTTTGCAGTTAACAAACAAAAAATCACTATTCATGGTATCAGTCAAAATGTTTTACACACCATTAATGAAGATGAAAAAACTGAATTCACGAGGCATATCAATCAGGTACTAATTAATGACTCTGATGTTAAGAATAAAATCCTAATAGATACAAATACTATGCAATTATTTGATGAATGTAAAAGTAAATATAATTCATTATTGCTTTGTTAAGAAAAAATATGATTTCTAACAATATCAATATTGATCATCTTAATAAGATAGGTTAATTTTCGCAAAACTTATTAATGACTTCGTACTAGACAAAATTGATGAACAAGTTCTAAATATGCCTGTAAAGGGAAAGAAAGTCAATAAGTTTAAGATGACAGAAAATAATAATTTAGTAATTTTTTCCGCAAAAGGCATTGGTTGTAATGTTGTAAATATCAGATCAGCAGACTTAATCGAAAGAAGAGAACATTTGATTCTAGGTCTTATCTGGCAGATTATCAAGTTTGACTATTAAACAAAATAGATATAAAACTTCACCTAGAGTTGTATCGACTTTGAAAGATGATGAAACACTTGAACAATTTTTAAAATTACTTCCAGATCGAATTTTGTTACGATGGTTTAATTATCATTTAAAAGCTGCTAAATGGAATCAAAGGTATTTAAATTTTTTTTCCCCACCTTTCTCTAATAAACTTAACTAAATCGTCATTTTATATAGGGTTAAGAATTTTAGCAAAGATGTCAGTGATAGTGCAAATTATACAGTTCTTTTAAATCAACTTAAACCTAATCTTTGTTTACGAGACCTGTTAAATATTCCTGATCTTCTAGAACGTGCTGAGAAAGTATTTAAAAATTGATTTCTATTAAATAATAAATATCTTTCTTTATATTTATTTATTTTCTCATATTATTTTTATTAACAGGTTCTGCAAAATGCTGAGAAATTAGGATACAGAAAATATTTAATTCCAAAGGCTCTTGTTGCTGGAAACCCAAAGTTAAATTTGGTTTTTATAGCTCATCTATTTAACACTCATCCCTGTTTGGATTCACTTGACAAAGAAGAAAAGGTTGAACTTGAAGAATTTGATAATAGTGATGATAGAGAAGCAAGGGGTATAATAGATTATTTTATTAAATTCTTTATATATTTATTATTTTTATTATTTCTTTTATTATTATTTTATAGCCGAAGTTTATTAAAATAGTTAGTTTATAGTATAGCAAGTAGTTAGCTGTAGCAAATTTATTTTTATATAAATAGAATAGCTTTTTGCTTAAGTTGTAAATTAACTCATTTGTAAGTTGCTTATGAGTTTTAAATTATAAATAAAGGAATCAATTTAAATCCATACAAATTTACTTTTCTCTTCAATATTGTTTCATATAGGATTTGTTGTGATACCTTACGCTAACCTACTATTAAGTTCATCATTACGAGTTGACTAACATATCTTAAATTCTAAGACATAATAACTTGTTGAATTGATTTAAATATAATGGATACCTTTAAGACTTAGAGAAAATCCTAAGGTCAGAAACTCCAACGTGTAGAATCAACTGCTGCAGCCTTTCAACTTAGATGTTAAAATAACTAAAAATGAAACCGGTGATAATATGAATCTTTTTATTTTATTAATTGCATTTACAAAAGGTTTATTTGTTTCAATTCTTCTAAAAACTCCATTATTATGAAGATGTCTTTTAAGAATAATTTGACTTACATTTGTTAAATTTGAAGTAACAAAATTTTCACATAATTCATTAATATTAGTTTTATGATTTTTATTAAAAATTTGTATTAAATAACAATTATCCTTTTAGTTAAAATAAGTGGTCTACTACTTCAAGAAGAAGTGTTTTGAAATCATCATTTTTATATATAAAAATAACATTATAAACAGTACTTTTTGAATAATTTAATACTTCACTTATTTTTTTTTTACTAAAATTATACTTTCAAGCATCTATAATTTCATCATATTAAAAATCAGAATGTTCTTTATATTGAGTAGTCATTTTTTTTATAAAAACTATTTTGAAGAATAAATTTTCATTGAAATATAAAATATAAAATATAATGTTACAAATAAAAAAAATTTATTCAAATAAGATAGTTATGGAAAAAACTTGATTTAAAATTTTGATTTAAAATTGAAAAAATAATTAACATTTTACATAATTAATAATTCACTATACCAAGATGATCTCAATGAATATAAATGCAATTAATCTGAAATTTTGGTAAAATATATTTTTTGATATGCTTAATAAGTTTACTTAAAATAACAAAATATATTACAGCTAATAATTTCAATATTTTATTATAACTAAAATCTTGTATTAAAATTGAAAATGCTGTATTAAATATATAATAAATATTTTTATTTCTAATTAAATATTTATAATAACTTTAAAATATATGTAAAACATTATAAATAACTTTGCTTATTTAATTAAAATTGATTAAATTAATAAATTTAAGATTAAAATTTCTATCAATTTTCTAATTTTTAAGTATCTGATGACTTTTGATACTTCACTGTACTATTATATTCATACTAAGGTTGTAGAATAAAACTCTAATCTTATTTTGGCAAAAGTTGAAATCTTTCAATTTTGATAGGTTTTGATGGATTTTGATTTTGATATCTATCGAAATTACTGGCAATTTTAAATCATACTATCATGTTACATTTCAAGTTTTAATTGCTCCTTATCTTCTTTAGTATCATTTTGCTTTTAATTTCTCTATTCTCAAGCCATAGATTGTTCAATCATATCAAATGCTTTTCATTATTAATTGAGCATCTCTATTATATAGAAATTGTTAAATAAAATAAGTTACAACATCAGTACAAAAAAGCATATTATAAACTTATAAATCAATAAATGTTCTCTAAAATTAAATTAATTATCATCACGCTTATAGAAAAAATCATTGTAGTAAGATTTACTGTTATCTATTAAGAAGAAAAGTAAATAGTTAAATGATTTCTCAAAATTTCTAATATAATAATTTATCCTTGTAAAAATGATATGTCCTATTAATTAAAATCTATATTTGATACTAATATTATGATGCAAATTATAAATTACCTCATATTTAAGCAAATTTATAACTATTCATTTTGATAATATCTTCAATTTCACTGTTTCCTTTATTATTTTCATTATCAACATCTAACTCATTAAAAAAATCAGATTAGACTGAACTTAAACTTGATCTTTTCCAATCATATAAGGAATATTGATAAATTTATCAATTGAGATGCTAATCTATTGAACTTATTATTAGTTTGATTTTCATTAGTTTATTATATAAATAAATCGATAAAATGCTAATTTATCTTCTTTTAATCATTATCAAATTTTTTACCCATTGATGCCATTATCGAACATAAAATGAAGCATGAATTTACTACTTTTATTTTTTTCCTATTATTTTGAAGATGTAACTTTTATTAATATATACTTAAGTTTCTTTAGCTCAAATAGAAAAATATATATTGACTTTTTTATCTTTCTTCTAATTCTTATATTATAACTGGTTATCTTTATATTTATTTCTACTAAATCTGAGTTAAGATCATCTTATAATACTTTATATAAATATAAACTATAATTATTATAGCTAAATAATCTCATTCAATATTTGAACAATATAACTAATAAGAGTTTAAATATGTTTTCAAGTTGATTTGCTCTCCTGAATCTCTTATGATTCATATTGATTCTATATATTAATGATATAGATTCAATATATCACTAAGATATTAATTTGATGTCATATTGATATTATTTTAGTATTGTAATTAATATCATAATAATATCGAATTAATGTCAAATTAATATAATAGATAAGACAAATAAAACACAAAAAAAAATTCAATTAATAAATAAGATTTTAAATAAATTTTTTATGATCTGACAGATAATTGATTCCTATATTTAAAGATAGTATCAGTTCAGTTTAGTTTAGTTCAATTTGTAAACCGGCAGTTTAGACAATAAATTAAAATGACTGCAGTTTATTATTTAATGCAAATTGCAGTTCAAATTAGTTATACTAATTTATTGTGTGTAAAAAGCAATATAACAAAATTATATGCCTATTTCTAATATTAAATTACTATGCAAAAAAATAATACAGTGATCCAGAAATAAAATTAGTCTATTCAACTATTAAGAATGATTGTGATAAGTAAATTTTTTTAGTTTTTAAAGCCATCAACATATTAAAAATCAGTTAATAATATTATTTGCATTTTTATAACAAGTTTGAAGGGATGAACAGCTGGAGGATCCTAGAAACTTCTAAGATAGGTTATAGGTAAAAAATTTTTTGTATTACCAATGCCAAAAATTTTGCAAGAGTCATAATTTAAGAACGTATCAAAATGGAAATTGTATAATTTAGGTTATTTTTAGTCAGGTCAATATTTCGATTTGTATCATTTACTCTAATTTTAAATCTTAATTTAATATGTTATGTGACTCATTAATGCATTATAATGCGTGTATAAAAACTTTAAAAATAACACTGGTCAAAATCAAAAAAATCAAACATGCAAAAATCGGCCTAAAATCAGCCTAAAATCGACCTAAATTTGGCAAATTATCAAAAATTAGCCTAGCCGATTGGCATACATCAGAAATCAGCCAAGAATTAGCCAAAATTCGACCTATCTTATTTATAGCTGATTGGTATACTTATAGCTGATTAGTATATATTAAAATTCGACCTATCTTATTTATAACTAATTAACGTTTGATTGGAACGATAGGATATTATCGTTTCTTAGGAATGATGATATTATCATACCTAAAGTACAATAGTTTTATTATTCCTAAAGAATGATGCATTTATCATACCTTAAGTACGATGATTTATCATTCCTAAAGTACGATAATATTATCATACCTAAGGTACGATAGTTTTATCATACCTAAAGAACGATGATTTTATCATTCCTTAGGGATGATGGTATTATCATACCTAAAGAACGATGATTTTATCGTTCCTTAAGGATGATTGTTTTATCATTTCTTAGGTATGATGATTTTATCGTTCCTTAGGGATGATTGTTTTATCGTTCCTTAGGGACAGTTGTTTTATCGTTCTTTAGGTATGACAATTTTATCGTTCCTTAGGGATAATTGTTTTATTGTTTCTTAGAGACGATAGTTTTATCGTTCTTTAAGGACAATGGTATTATTGTACCTAAGGAATGATGGTATTATCATTTCTTAGGTACAACGATTTTATTGTACCTAAGGAATGATGGTATTTTCATACCTAAGGAATGATGATTTTATCATTCTTAAGAAACGATATATTTATTGTTCCTTAGATATGATGGTTTTATCATACTTAAGGAATGATGGTTTTATCATTTTTAAGGAATGATGCATTTATCGTTCCTTAGGTATGATAGTTTTATCATACTTAAGGAACGATAGTTTATCATTCCTTAAGGATAATAGTTTTATCGTTTCTTAGGGACAATGATTTTATCATTTCTTAGGGATGATGGTTTTATCATTTCTTAAAGATGATGGTATTATCGTCCCTAAGGAACAATGGTATTATAGTACCTAAGGAATGATGGTTTTATCGTTCCTAAGGAACAATTATTTTATCATTTTTTAGGGATGATGGTATTATCATTCTAATAAACCGAACTTTTGGATTAAACCGATTTGCTAAAATAATATTGATTTAATGTACTATTTGAGTTTTTTTCTGGTATATAGGAATATTTATATAAATAAGCTTAATTTTTTAACTTTTTAAAAAATAATTTCAATCATTTCCAAATTTTCTCTTTTTACATTCCACCAAAATCCCGAAAAAAAATCGTCCCAAGAACAAAAAGACCTTAAGTTGAATTTTAGTCAATTTTCGCCTTCAACTATCAAAATCGGACGAAGAAAAAGCTGTATTTTAGTCAACTTTTCAAAAATAAACCGATTTTTTTTACTTTTTATAATAGAAACATGCCTCCAACCATCAAAATCGGACGAAACTTAAGTTGAATTTTTGTGATTTTTTTTACTTTTTATAATAGAAACATGCCTCAAACCATCAAAATCGGACGAAAATTATATTGAATTTTAGTCAATTTTTCTGATTTTTTTCTGATTTTTATAATAGAAACATGCCTCCAACTATCAAAATCGGACGAAACTTAAGTTGAAATTTTCTGATTTTTTTTTTCTTTTTATAATAGAACAAAGTTAACTACAGAAATCTCAATGTTAATAAATGGATTATTAGATGATAACGCTGTATTCAGAAATTAATTATTTTATTTAGATTTTTCATTATTCACAATTTTTTTTTATTTTGAAAGTATAAATCGAAAGAAATTTTACAATTTCCGAGTGGCTTCAAAATTTTTTATTTTTGAATAAAAATTATAATGTCAAATGTATAATAAAATCTGGTTCTTTCAAAAGTTGAAATTTACTAGAAAATGCGATAATTCCTGTGTCGCAATCCCTATAAAAAAAAATTGTCCAGAAAATGTTATCGAAAATGTCCGGTCCAAGTGGAAAATGTCCGAAAAATGTCAAAATCGTCTGGAAAGTGTACCAAAACATGATGGATTCCGGACATCGCGTGATGTCTTGATATTTTCCGGAATTTATACCGAAACATGGTGGATTCCGGACATTATCTGGATATTGCGGCAAATTCTGGACAAATTCCAGAATTTTTTTTTTCATAGGGAATTAGTTAAATTAACACTATAGTTAAGTTAATAAAATCTTATTGGCAAAACCGTCATAGTAAAAATCCGTCAAAAGTCAAAGCTATATTTTTGGGTTTCGACTTTTGCCATTGGCTTTGCCAGCTACACTACAACATATTTCTAATTTTATTTTTTATTATACTATAACGATAATGAGCGCACCCTAAGAGAAATAATGAATTTCCGCAACCGTACTGAAGCGAAATAACGAAAAATATCCTATAAACTTTCTGAATTAAATAATTTAGCTTCTAATTTGGACTTGATTGAAAATTTACCAAAATTTAGAATTCCCGAAGGACTTAAAATGTACCAACATTAAGTTTCTTTGAATTGACAAACGTAATTATTCAATGACATTTTATTTAAAAATAAAAATAAAAAATATAAATTTGCTTTATTGGGAATGTAATTAATTATAACATTGCAAAAGAGGTATTAATGATACAGGTTTGATATTTATTTATTTTATTTTTTTTATGTATATTCCTTTTTTTTTGGTTTCAGTAATTTTGATTCGTCACTATATAATTTTTAATTCTTTTTTTTTTTTTTTGTAAGCAAGCTAAGCCGGCTTGTCAAGCTCGCGAGCCAATTTATAATAATTTTAGCAAATAAAAGTTCATGTTTATAGTTTTATAAAAAACTTAATGTCTTAAAGCAGACTAAAAAAAACCATTATCTTATTTTATGACATACTTTACCGAAATTACATTTTGCCGTTCGTAATCACAAAAAGGGTGCGGTTTACTTTCAAATGACTAATATAAAAAGGAAATATGTGTAATATAATTACATCAATTACATTAGAATTTAGGACATTGGTCGGTGTTATGTTTTATAAAACTCCAATGATAAACATCAATAAATTGTATTATTTATTTTAAATTTTCTGTTATAGGTATGCTAAAACTTTAAAAAATTAAGCTTTCAACACTTATTTCACGTCGTTTTAGCGAAACCCCGGGCATGGCTCGGGTAAACCGCTAGTTTTAAAGATATTTTTAATAATACAGTCGTCCATCTCTATAGTCACCTCCTGTACAATCACATCATATAAATTCCTCATTATAAGCACACATTTCGTAAGGACCAATACCTATTAATGCTATATAAAAAAACCCCTTTATAATCACAGTGTTTTAAAGTCACACCCTTCCAGAACCAACATTTGGTAACAACATATGAAAATCACCCTGTATAGTAACTTTTTATTATAATCTCACTTTTTATTTTTAGTCCCGAGAGGTGTGACTATAAAGGGGACGACTGTACTATACAATACAATTTTATGGTTTAATATTTATGATAGTTTGGACATGTAATTCAACTTCCAATCCATATAGTTAGACACATTTTAAGAATCGATTCCAATCCTTATTCTTTCAAAAATTTGGGTGCCTCGTTTTGAATTTGGCTACAGAGTTATTTTTTTGTTAAATTTTTTTTAAGAAACAACGTCCTCCATTAGATTTTATAATCAGTTAAATCGCGATTAATCTTCGATTATTCGATTCTAATATATTTTATTTATTGTATAGTGTAACGATCGCGGACAAAATATTTACATTTAGATGCCTAATACAGATTCAAAATTACAAAAAATTAGCAAAATGGTATGTCGATCATTAAATACGAATCTTGAGAAACGATAGCGATTAAATGATTCTCAATATCGAAATCGATTTCAATCCCTACTATAGCCTTCAAACTTTGCATGCGGAATAATTAAATTTGGAACGGGAAACGAAAAATTATCAATTGCAAATAATTGGAAAATCTTATTTATTTATTTAGATTCTCTCGCAGTGAATAAATTTATATCATAAAATAAAAATTAATTTACTTAAGTAAAAAAGTTAGAAAAGAAGATGAAGCAATTTGGTTATAAATTGGTGAAAACAATCGTTATACAAAACCTAGAAACAAAATAAGTTTTAACTGGTTAATTATTTAATCGGCTAATCAAATATTTCCATTCTCCATTTCAATAAAGATTTTATAGCAATTCGAGTTACTTCAACTCTTTCTATCAAAACATTGCAATGATATTATTATCTTGTATGTCAATTACTGTTAATAAAGGCAAGATTCTCATGGCAATTTTTCTTTTGAACTTATTTTCCGAATTATTTTCTTAACTAAAATACTCAATATTTGTAGATTTACCCTTTATTATTGACCGCCTCCCATATGATATGATGTGACGATACTTTGAAAATTCAGGGTAACTTTAAAGCTGTAATTTGCTATTGAATTGAATCAATATTTTTTATTATAATAATAATTTAAACTATAAAAGGAATGTCAAAAAAATTAAAGCAATTATTAAGTCAATTAGCATTAAGAAAAGAAATTCAGTGACAAGTAATTAAATGACTATACTAATTGATGTAGTAAAATAAAATATATTGTATGTTGGATATAATAATGAAATTAGTCTTATAAATTTTAAAACATGAACAAGAATTGGGCAAGGACATTGCAAACAACCACATTCATGGCAGGTATTTCGAATGCCATAAACACATGCGGCACCGTTAGGATTGCATTCATAGGCATACCCGTCAAAGCAATTAGTATCAAGAAATTGATCTGAGAAAAAGAAAATCAAAAAGAGTGTAAAAGAGATGACAAGTAATGAATCGAATCAGAGCATACGAAGACAATGAAATTTCAATTATTTACCACCACAGTATTGTCCTTGTTTGGTGCCTACAGGGCATCTGCAAGAAGTAGGACCGCATGAAGCGGAGGTATTAAAAACGAAGAAGAATAAAAGACCCAAGATAAAAAGAATATGAATAGATCCGTTCATTTTCATATTTATTTATTGTAATTTTTTGGTCATTGTTCTCTTTTTTGCAAGTTTAATCTTTTTAATGATTGATTTATTGTGGGCAGCACCTTTATTTATATTCAACGACAAATCTTTGAAAATTATATAAAACTATATCAAATTTTATTTTTTGATTTGTATCTAACTATAAGAAACAATTTTTACTAGATTATTAAAAGGTCCTTTACGATAGAAAAGAGAAACTATCGGAACAGCCAAATTAGTTCACATTATATAAGTTTTCGGGTTAAAAACATATATTGAGTTGAGCATTCACTAGGCAATCTCCTCTCGTAAGAACATCTATTTTTATTGGTTATGGAGTATTATAAATAGGTATCATGCTGCTTTCATTGCACGTGTAATTTAATAGCTAAAATTTTTGATGATCATATGAAATTTACAAACAAGTTAATTCATTGTGAAACCCGATCTTTAACTAGATTTTACTCATACGAACGAACGTGTCAATAATATGTTTGGCATAAGGTTGCCTGGCAAAACCCATCGAAACCTTCTTATAATAATTTGTATTATCATGTTTATCTTCGATCGTAAAATTTTACTAGCATTCGAAGGCTCTAATTATTATAAATTTATTAATTTTTAGTAAAAATATTTACCTTCAAACGTGAAATCGATATTGGCAATTGAATCTTAAAATAGAATCATTTAATGAATTATAATATCTGTTTTTATTTGCTACCTTCTAATTCTTCTAATGAAGAAGTTTTCTTAAATCCGAAATTCGTTCTAATGTTTTGCAAATTATTTTATTAAAAAAAAGATAATAATTTTAAAACAAGTTTCAGACCCGACTTTCAAATAAACTTTAATTTACCTTTATTAAGCATTGTTTATGCATTTGTAACCCAAATGCGTTAATTTCTGAAGTGATCATTTCGGATATTCCAAAACGGGATGTCAAACGCAAAGATCGTTTGCTGTAAAAGTTTTTTTTTTTTTACAATTTAATTAAAAATTTTTTAAATTTGCTAGTTTAATTAAATTTGAACCAAATTTGTTTCATTATGAATATAACGAATATAATAAAGGATATTATGGAAAAGAAATAAAGGAAGCATTTGTAGGTGTTATTAATCATGTATGGTATGGATTTTTATGTATAGAATGTATGGTACCAATTTATGTATGTCTTTCCATACCGGGATGATTATTCGCTGCAAAAAGCATACTGGTATGGAATTTTCAATTTTCAATCCATACCGGTATTGAATATTTATATATTTAATAAGATACATTTTCAATTATCTTTTAAATGATCGGAATTGATTTGAACAAAGAAAAATAATAAGTAGCGTTGGTAGTTGTTTTGTTTAATTCATTATATTATAATGAGTAAAATCAGGTGTTAAGTTTAAGAAAATTAAAAATTAATTAAAAATTTTGCATTTATCAAATTGAAGAATTTAATTCATCAAATTAAAAAAATTTAAAAACTTTATTATTAATTTCCGAAATTTTAAAAAATCCATACATGTATGGAAATATTTGTCATACAAACCATATAATACATGATTTAATAACACCTCTCATATGGGCTAAGCTATTAAAATCACCTTACGGGGATAAGAATTGATTTTGATTAAAGAATGCTACGCCACAGTAAACATTTCCAACCAATAATGAGTCAAATTAATTAACAAGACGATACTAAAAATTTTTTGCTATTATAAAATTTCCGTTCATAAATCCATTCCACCTTTTTTTGACTGGTAAATTTGGAGTCATATTACAAAGGTTGCCCTAACACATTAACAAAGTTTTCAATCCCTTTTTACATTTAGCTTGAAAAGAATTATATCATCTATAGTTTATTTTTTTTTTGTTTACGTTTGCTAAATTTGAAATACTCTCCATTTCGAACGGTTCTGTCTTCGTATCACCTTACGTATCCACTCGGTAAATTATTATGTCGATGCTGCAATATTATATCGGTGCGATATAAAGCATCTGACTATTGTTCTCAAATACTCGGGTTCGAATAAAACTAATAAAAAAATAAATTTTCTAAATACAATTATTTTCTCAATATTTCACTCGATAAATTGATCAAGAACCGGCGATCAAAATTAAAAACTTTTGCCTAGTTCAGATCAAATTAGTTCGAGCTTTAGTTGTAATTCATAGCTAATGATTAATTGCCTGCGGTACTGTCACAAAAATCAATATTATTATTTTATAAATAGTCTAATGGAGCAAGTTTACTGAGATCAAACTTTCAATTTCTTGTTCAAGTTCACTAATAACTTTGCGGGTTTTTCTTGAAGGTATGCCAAGTCCCGTAAAGTAAGATGTTGATAAAGTATATCTAAAAGCAAAAATCTAGATGATTTCAACACTATTTTAAAAAATGTTTACCCTCAAGGTCTCATCTTCACCTTTGAAGGTCAACCAACTTTTACCAAACATTCACATTCAAACATAAACAATAAAGAAACCGATAGCAAGCCATTAAATGTATGATACCCGTTGTCTGATTTGAGCAGTAAGTACTTTCATTTTTCCTTTCCTATAATTACTAGTACTAATTTTTTTCTCTATGCAGTTAAAGTGAATCTTAAACGTATGTACGACAGAAAGGAGGAGCGCAAACTTAAAATGCACCAGTGGTTCTTTCAAATCGAATTTTGAGGGTTTAGACGATAACGAACTGAAAAAATTGAGAACGCGTTCAATTTTCTATAGAGAAATTAAGCAATAGGATCAAAATGAATTTGAAGGATCTAATCCGTAACAAAGAAAACTTATGTTGATTTGAAGGTCGAAAAAATATTTAAAAATATTTACCACTATCCCTATGATTACTGGTTTTCCTGAACGGTGACAAAAGGTTTCAATATGGAAAGTCTTACATAATTATCTCGAATGCTTAGTGATAAACAAATGTACAAGTTTTGTTGAACAACTTAAGGATAAATCTACGTATCGTCAATGTTGCAGAGTTCTCCAATGCGCGGTCTCGTTTATTCAAAAATAAGTTCACGCTCTTGAGGTCTATATAATCAAATTGAATCAATTAATTAATATAAATTAAAAATTATGAATGAAAAAAATAATAATAAATTATTAATTCACTTTAATGCTCAATTCTACCCATAGAACTAGTTATTTGTTATCTGACTTCCCGGTTGTCTTGAGTCTATTTGCTAGTCCAGTGGGCGGTATATTATCGGTGTGGGTATATCCTTTTCCACAATAAGTTCGTCAGCTTTACATCCAACGTAACAATACTAAGAAAAATGTTAGTGACAATAACTTAACTGTAATTTTTTTGATTATGAAGGATAAACCTTAACAAACCAAAAAACCCTTACCTCCGTCCTTTGATTCAGTGTTTATCATATAGTTAGGAAGAAAAAAAAAATCATTAAAAATATCAGACATCTATAATCAAGTAGAATCTTTATCATCAAACCACTTAATATACCATCAACAAAAAATTCAATCAGATAATTCGCAATTATATTTAAAAATAAAAAAAAATGATCTAAGTCATTTACATTTACAAAGCTCTCGTGTGATGTAATTTAGAACTAAATTTATGTAATTGCACTGTTGGAGTTAAGCTTTCATTACTGTTGATTTAATATAATATCCATATATAAAACTTTATTCTTAAAGTAAAATAATATTACAAATTATCTATTATAAAAATCAAATGAATGTAATCGTTGCAAAACGTTTCTATAGTTTTTCCTTAAATATTCGCTTATTAAAAGGAAAAAATAATAAAATTAACTCTTCAGAACTTTAAATATACAGTCAGTCACTCCATAAAGAAAACATGAACTTAAAAGAAAGGTTATGTAAAGATTAGGAGTTAATATTTTGATTATTATTGATATATTGAGTCTTTAAAGATTCAGGTTCGATACTCGTTAAGGAATTGGGTAAATTTGGTAGGATAGCTATTTGAGTATTAGAGCAATCAAGGTCCGTTAAGGAGTTGGGTAATGTTGGTAGGATAGTTATTGGAGTTTCAAAGCAATATAGTTCCGTTAAGGAGTTGGGTAATGTTGGTAGAATAGTTATTTTAGTCCTATTAAGTTTGAGTGTCGTCAAGGAGTTGGGTAATGTTGTTGGTAGGATAGTAATTGGAGTTTCAGAGCAATTTAGTTCCGTTAAAGTTTTGGGTAAAGTTGGTAAGCTATTTATTTTATTACCAAAACATTTGAGTACCGTTAAGGAGTTGGGTAATGTTGGTAGGATAGCTATTTGAGTATTAGAGCAATCAAGGTCCGTTAAGGTATTGGGTAATGTTGGTAGGATAGTTATTGGAGTATGAGAACAATCAAGTTCCGTTAAGGAGTTGGGTAATGTTGGTAGGATAGTTATTTGAGTATTTGTACAATCAAGATAATTTAAGGAGTTGGGTAATGTTGGTAGGATAGTTATTGGAGTATCAGAGCAAATTAGTTCCGTTAAGGAGTTGGGTAATGTTGGTAGGATATCTATTTATATTATTTTTATTTATTTATATTTTTTAGGTTTGATCAGTTCTTCTACTTAGCTAAGAACCTTTGAATAGAACTATCTGGTTCATCACTATAGTGAAGGTAAGCTGTCAATATTTTTTTCTTTATATTTTATTTAATATATATATTTTTTTTAATATTTTAATATTTTATTTACTTTTTTAGGTTTGATCAGTTCCTCTATTTTGGCTAAAAATCTTTGAACAAAACTGTCTGTAATAAAGGTAAGCTGACTAATTTTAATTAAATAATTATTTTTTTATTCTTATTTATTTTAGGTTAGTTCAGTACTATCTTTATTAGCTTTTAAGCTAAAAATTAGACTGAACCTTTAAACGGAATCTTTAGTTTATCACTACAGCAAAGGTGAGCTAACTTATTATTTGTTTTCTTTTTATCTTAGTAATTAATTTTTGATCATTAATTTTATTTATTTTATCTTATTTATTTATTTTAGGCAGTTTTA